GTTCAGCAGTCAACTACATGAACCTCAAGACACGAGAAAAACACTGCTAGACTGAGTGATTGCTCACCTGCGTTGCAGTTCTTCTTCCTCTTCAAATACACCATAAGGTTTTAGGGTTTCGATTAATTTCTGGGTAAGCATGCAGTCAAACTCCTTGGGAGCAGCTAAACTGATAGGTGAGGTAATGCCATAATGCTTCTGTAGTTGCTGTGTTTGTGATCCCTGGGTTGTAACAGGACTAATAAAGGCAATTAGATAAAGTTACTGACAGAAACAAAACAAAACAAAAAATTGTTACAACTATTTTTTCTCATCAGAGTAGCAGATAAGAGATACGTACTAAAGAAATGAAAAGTTAAGCGTACTGTTAGCATTTATATCCCAGATTAATCTGTGTTAAATCTGTGTTATTAAGGACAACAATAGAATTGCCTTTCTCCTCTAAATATTGAGTGCAGGGTTACAAGTTGCTATGAGGCATGATCTTTTACATCAGCTGACTTCATACACTCAAAACAGTCACCTAAGAAGGCTTTCGTATATTTTGAGCCCATTAGCATCGTACAGTTAATTTTAAGCTGACTTGCCAGCTGGCTAGCATAACAGGATGGTTAGATGAACAATGTCAGCTCAATCTATGCCGGCAATATTACGTACAGCCTTGCTTCAATAGGGGGGTGAGGGGAAAATATCAGGTTTGTGCTAGACTTTGCCTAGCACAAGTACCAAGGATGTAAGCAGCACTCTCTCCACATCCCTCATGCTTCCTTAACATGACATTTTACTTCATAGAAGTATTTATCTAAATAGGAAAGTAAGCCTAGAGTAAACCCAACCCACCACAATGTGTTAAATCTGCGAGGACCAAGTTCACTAGTAAACAGTCCAGGCACAAACCCTCATAGCATCCTTGCCTTGCACTTTTCAAGCTACTCAGACAGATACGGAGACAAACCAAGCACAAGGATGATACTCTGAAGTCAATCACCCATATTTCAACATTGCAAGAAAGGAGAGGAGACCACGCAAAACAACTTCAGCAGAAACACAAAAGGAAAGTTATAATCATATTGTGAGAACTAATAACAACTTCCCTAGATGAGCATCCTGAATGAAAATCAGACATGCAGTTTTTCATAATAGGCAAATACTTGTTTATGACATTCACATTTAAACCCAGCCTTATTTTCAGAACAGTCTGAGCTTTAAGGCTAGTAATTCAAAGTGTATCAAAACTAAACTGGGTCCTACGTAACGTACAAGTGTTTGGATTCAGTGATTACAGAATGCTATAACCATATTATAGTTAAAACTTTTTTGGACTAATACTAGCAACAACAGCTAGCCATTTAAAAAATTCTTAAACATATTCAGTATTGTAGAATAAATAATATACTTTAACATTTAAACTAAAAATTCGTCTCTCTTTGGAAAACTTGTTCATTATATTGTTCATATATATACTTCTTGTATATATATGTCTTGTACATTATACACTTCGCATGTTTAAAAAAATACACTAAAATCTGTATTTTAAAAGCTCTAAAGGTTATTAGCAGCATTAAATACTAGTTTTATACTGATATATAGGTAACTTTCCTCTGAATTATGAATGTTATTCCCCTACCTTTGATTTTTGAAAGTGACAAATCATTGCTTTTAAGCATACTGAAAAGTTTCTTTTCTGAAACCAACTTCTTACTTAACCTTTCAGAGAGTAACAAAAACATTATGATCTCTCACTAAAATATGCATTTCAGAAAATGTGACTATTAAATCAACAGCTACTCAAAAGGCCTTACCAACAAAATTAAAGCAAGTATTACCTGAAAGTTAAGGTAGTGTAGAAGCGTTACAGCTGCATTATTTAAGTTATATCCTTACTACACAAGATTACTCCTGTTCAAAGGTATAAAGTAACATTTTGTTTAATACCAAACATATAACTAGTATTTTTAATTCAGATTATGCATTAGGTTTTTTTTTTTTTTCTGAATTCAATTATTCATTCTACTAGGGCAAAAGCTTTATCATCAGTTTGGTCTCCTTCAGTTTTCACAGAGATAAAGTATGAAGAAGAGAATCCCCCATGTCAAAAAAGCAAGCTGACAGCTTATGTGAAAGTCCCATTCTTGGCAAGCATAACATTCCCCTGTATACTGCTCTATTATCAGTGCTTCATGTCTATACATGTTATATACTGTTTCTATCAACAACACAAGAAAAGGTTTTTCAGGCTAACTACATATTATGTGTGGAAAAACTACAGTACAACTTCACTTTTACTTCTGTAATCTGTTGTCATCATCTCAGGATTTCATTCCTCATTTCCATGAAGACTAAGCATTAAACAAGACCATCTTAAATTAAAATTGACAGGTATAAACAAAACCTAATATAATTTTCAACAAGTTAAAACCATTTAAAAACTATTCTAAGTACTACAATTTGTTTGAAATCAAGGATTCAGTTGTAAAGCAAGTTCTAGCACACTTGTCCCTTTGCTTGTTAGCCAAAGGAAAAAAGCAAAGCAGGACAAAAATGTTAAAAAAACCTGTGCATTAAAAAAGTCAACCCCAAGTAATCACATCTGGGAACATTATCTGACATTGCTTCCTTCAGCCAAGAGGTTTTAATCACCTAATGAAGAATTTGGTAGCAGCTGAACAAATCATATAGACCTTAGGACTTTTTAAAAAAAAGTGTTTTCATTAACAAATAAAGATGTTCAGATGAATTATATAAAACAGTAATTCAAATTAAGGACTAAGGAAGCCACGAAAACAATTCTCTTTTTTTTTAAATAACGTTTAGGAACAGCAACAAAAATAGTAGCTTCAGACACTTAGTTGCTACCAAAAAAAAGCAGTCAGAAAACAAAAGGTCTCAATACCTAAACATACTTTGGATGTTATGAATATTTTTACCCACACCTCAAAGCAAGTAGTTACATCTGAATTACAATTTTGCCAACTTAATTTGAAAAAAAAAAAAAAAAATTGCTTTTTGATTTAGGATTTTGCAGTTTATTTTTACAGGTTTTTAAAGCAGTACTCAGCAATCAACACTTTAGTTCTGTGTAACAATTTCCTAACAGTCTCATTATAATTTTCACCCATCCATAACTATAAACTGCATCAAATTCAACAGATATTAAACTTCATTGAAAGGGATGGCAAAACACAGCATGGCAGACACTGTTACTAGATTTCAAAAAAAGAGTCAATGTCACTCAGACCCAGATTCTGTGAAGCAGACTCCTAAAGTCAGTAATTCTGATGGAGCCCTCTATCTTCCACCTGCTTGTAAGGGCCATGCTTCACCAATTGAAGAACCAATCACTTAAAAATAATCCTTCACCTTGCCCCCCAAATTACAATACATTAAAATCAACCCAACATCTGATTGCTTCCCTAATCTGGTTTACAGCATAACGCTGTCAATGCAATGGGCAGATCTGTCTTTGCAAAACACCATCCTGACATAACTTAAACCAGCATTATCTCCAACCTCTACAGGACCATCAGAGCGTGGTCATAGGGCACAAAATAAGCTTTGAAACTGTTCACTAAAATGACAGCTTTAAACAACCTATTAAATTGATCACCCAATATATAAATTTGAGAATTATTACACAAAAACAGTTACAGTTTTTACAGTTACTGCTATTATATTCATTTGTTTTATCAGAATGAAACAAGGATGTTGTCAACAGCACAGGACCTTCCTACACAAATGTTTCACCTGTGTTTGAAGGTTGAGCAGTTAATAAGAACACTTTCCATGGGGTGGTATCTAACAACTCTCAGCACAGCTGCCCTCTAGAAGATTTTAGAACTCCAGAAGATACAACAAAGCTTAAATTTTAACATATATTAGTATTGAAGAGTATATAGGTTATTTCCAGCTAAAAACATTTGAATTGAGACTCAACTGTTTACACTTGCTGAAGTTAAGTCTATTCTAAGGTTTCTGTAGCACACCAAAAGATATCAGGAAAGCGCCTTTGTAAAATGACAGAAAAAAATGGTATTTGGCAAGAAAGTTTGTTAAACTCATTTAAGGATGCAATAAACTCACTAGTGCTAGGAAACCCACATTCATTCATTTAAATGACAGCAAGTCATTAAAGTTACTATAAAATAAACAAGCAAAAGTATATCCTCTCCCCACCCCCTGCCTTCCTCAGAACCGAGAAACTTCAAATAAAACATTTGCTAGCTGCTTTTTAAATTAAAAGTGAATTATCACTGAGAAAGTAACATTAAGTGCTCATTTTTTCAACTTTAATGTTGTATTTACATGTTACATTTTAGCCAGAAGACACTAATGATCAACACTCCTAAACTTATCTTTTACTTTTTCCTAAAACCATGAAGATCACACTCTAGTCCAATAGCTTCCCTCTTGAAAAGACATATGGACATTCTGTTTTTTACCTGCGACATGTCATGATATATCACTTTTGGAATCCTTTAGTTTAAACTATCAAATTCATTCAAAAAGAAAGGACAGGTAAGTATCAATGCTATTCTTCTACCTAAAAGGATTAGGGAAGTTAAGGCCTTGGGGGAGTCAATACCTTGGTGGTATGTCAAATCTGCTAGTCACTCAAGTTAAGCATTAACAAAAACAAACAAACAAACAAACAAAAAATCAAAGAGGAACAGAACAGGAAGTCCCATCCCAGCTACTCAATCTTGACAACAGCAGAGGCACATTTGGCAGACCTTGTCACAGTTTGACACTCAGCTCAAAGCATGTTTAGGGGTTGCTTTTTTTTATTTTTATTTTTTTAAAAAAAAAGCTTTTCTTTTTAACATCACAAAGAAAATTAAGATACAGTTTGGGGGTTTTTTTGTTTATTTGTTTCTAGTCAGCCACATATAGGTATGAAAATTTGGCTCTTGCTCTGCTATGAATGAGCTACCTGTCAACAGCACAAATATAAAATAAAGTTACAGAAAATGATGTAGAGTTGAATTTAACATGCTATTGTTGTTGCTCTGGTTTGACCTGAATTTTTGAAAAGCATATGCTGACACTTCAAGCCATCTGCAAATTGGGCAACAGCCACAGTGGTTTAGTTCTAAAGTGTTATGATCCAGTATTTCATACTCAAACATGAAAATTCATCTCATCACTCAGAAATGCACATGTACTTTTTCCCCATATAAAACCACACAAGCACAAAGTTCTAGCCCATACTAAGCTGACAGCTGTATAGCTGAATGACTTTTTCTTCA